AAATATATTGTACAATTTCAAATGAAGTATTTTTTTTTAATGAAAATCCTGCTATCTGATAATTATATTAGATTTCGACTAATTTAGAATTGATTCATGTCGGAATCCATTTGGGAAAAAACTCTCCTAACGTTTGTTTCTCTATTTAAAATATTCAAACTCAATATTTTATTTTAAAAAAATTGAATTCTTTCTATTCAAACTAACATGTTATTGGACAAATGGAGCTTAAACGGAGTCCTTCATATTAAGACCCTATGTTTAGTCAACAATTAAAAAATAATTAAGTGATAATTCTTTTTATTAAATGTAAAAGATTATGAGTCTAAGCATGTTAATAAAGTGATTTAAGAGATAAAAGAAGATTATTTTTAATTATATAATTTAATATAAAAAGGTGTTTTTTTAAAATTAGAGCACAAGTTAAGGATGTTATTTTATCATAAATTTATATAAAAAATAAAAATTAATACTAATTATAATGTTAGTATTAAGTGAATCAATTTAATTACAAGTCTAATAAATTAAAAATTAATTTTTATTTTTTTAATATAAATTTATAATAAAAATGTGTATTTATTATATTATTAATTTGTTTACTAAAAACACATTAAAAAAATTTAAAGAAAGGATGCAGTTTCTAATGATTCTTGTTTTAATTACGAAAATAGCTTAAAATGTCTTTTAATTACTTGAAACGTGAGAAATCAAATGTAAAATGTGCCTGTTTAAGCATAAAGTCTTGGGTTGATTTTGATACATTGATGACAACACAAACAAAAGGAAAAAGGCAGTCCAAAATAAACAAACAAATCTGGTGTGTTTTTTGAAATTTAAACTGAAGAAATGCAAAGACGGGAAGTGGGGGAGCCGGAACAGAGTTTAGGTAAGACATCTGCACGCTTTTATTTTTTAGGTTTTGTCTTTGTTGTGTGCAAGGGGAGGTAAGGCAAGTTGATGTGTTTGTAGGGTGCAAAATCCAGAATTCGGAGGTTTCGCCATCCGGGTTCATGACAGATTGGGTTTTGTATTTTTATGGTGGATACTGGATAGGACAGGCAGATCTCCTTTTGACTTTATCAGTGAAGTTGATAGGATATGGCACTGAACAACGCTCCTGCCAATTCAAAATATATTCCACCTAACTGCGTTTGTCGCCAAAATTGAATGAAATTTCAATATGTCACACCTAGTAGATATTGAATGGTCATAGGGTGAAATGATTGAATTTAAATTAATATTGTTTTATAAATTATTAACTTTTTTTTACCGATACAAATTTCTTGCCATTCTATTGTTATTATTATTATTATTATTTTTTAACAAAGAAAATTATAGGTGGAAAAGAAAAATGGATCAATTTATGGGTTAGAAAATCATCAATGATCCGTAAAGCAAATGTAAATATTTAAATAGTATATAAAATTTAAATTTTTAATTAATCTTATCTAAATATTAAAATTTAGAGATGAATTATTAAATATTAAAAATTCACTTAAAATTCCATTGTTACTTGAAATTATATTGTTTTGTTAGTTTTTATAGTGTATTCAGGCGCAAAAAGGTTTTCTGATTCGTAATTGCTCCATAATAGATCTTGATTTCCTTAATTTTTTTTGTATTCGATTTGTTTGTCGATGTTAGTTTCTTTGTTGATGGATGAACCCTAATTTTTTTGTTTGATTTTTGCTTCTACATGTTATCTCTCTAGTGATTGATGAATCCTACCAAAGTTGGATTAATTCTCTGCTCATGGATGAACCCGATCTTCATTGAGGGAGCCATGGGATGAAGAATTGGGTTCATGAGGAAGAACATGTAGAGAAGGCTAGAGGAGTAGTTATGGACACGCAAATCAGAGATGATATTATTATCATACTCTCAATGTCATGTTTTTTTTTATTTAATTAATTATTATATTTTTTAAATTATTAAAAAATAAAATATGAAAAAATTTTAAAAATATATAATATAGTATTACATTAAAAGAATGCAACAATAAACATACCCATAAATCACGGCGAGAATTACCTTCTGCAACTTCGGCGAGATGAATGAAAATATGGTGGGCCTTTCAAGTACTAATGGGCCCTTATTGAAAGCGGCTTTAATAGATGGAATAGAATAGAATTGGATAGATTTTTGGACTTTTCATCTAAAACTATTTTTGGGGATAGGTGATGTTTTATGGGCATAAAAGGCCCATAATGCTGGTAATAAGCCCCAGTAACAAAGTAATGAATTTGGAGGCCGAAAAACAAAGAAAAATTTGGCCCACTCATAAGGGTGAACCAGAACGGCAGAACCGCCCACCCGAAACCAAAGCCCAGACCCCAGAACCCACCGGCGCAACCGCCATGAGGCTGGCTAATTGTGCCTCTTCAGGGCTTGGTCCAAGCCAGAGGAGGCCTAAAACCTAGTATCCCCAATCCCCTGCGTTCTCTTCTACTTCCTCCATGTGTGTGTGTGCATTTTTTCTTTTTTTTGGTGAATGAATATTGGAGGGTGTTAATTGCTTCTTTCTGCACTTTTCAACTTTGTTATTTTATGGCTAAAACACTGTAAACCTTACTGCATTTCTCTCTTAGTAGTAATTTAAGAAGAGGATGTGGTTATGCAATACGTACACTACAGTTTATATGTTGAAAAATTCAACAAATATATTTCCACTTCAAAGTTCTTGCAGAACAAGACATATAATGTTGCATATATTCTGGAACTTGTAAATTCTTTGCATGTGATATAACATTAAATTAACTTGAGATAGTCTTGATGGACAGGAGAACTGGTTTCAGGTTGGTGTTGAAATAGCAAGGATATGACTACTTGTTCTTTTACAGCAAAACACCGTTTCTTGATTTTTTGAGAAGGCATTACGTCTTTTGCAGCAACTTCAGTCTTCGCTGGAGCTTCTTCCACTCCAATCCTTCAATCAAACCGATGCTAGTTCCGAAGATGCAGCATCCTGATGCTCTCTTCTTCCTAAATTCCTGTTATAGTTGCATTCAGGCAAGTGAAATTGTTCTCAGTTATATAGTGTAAGATGCCAGATAATTAGGGATTAATTGATAAGAAATCTATGGTGTATGGTTTTCTTCTTATCCCTTATGTTGAATATAAACCTACTTCCCATTTTGTTCTAGAGCAGACAGACTGATATTAGTAAACTATTGTTCAAGGCAATAAGCAATTGACTAAAGAAAGGAGATTTAGAATTACCTTCGATAGATTCTGCTTTCTCATTAGAAGGGCCTTTCTCTGGTAACTCCTCCTTCGGCTCATCATTATCAACTCTCCAAGTGTTGGTGGCCTTCTTATAACAGCAGTTGTTGTACTTTCCTGATCCAACTCTCTCGGAGCCTGAGAGCCCTGCTCAGAGTGTCCAACCCTTTCAAGGAAACCAGCCTTGGGTGGAAGCAATGGAAAAAGGCATTCCAAGAAAGAAGCACCCACAAGACTCAAAGGGCCAGTTGCATAGCTGCTTGTACTACTGTCATCTGACTTAGAAGCTGGTGAGGAAGGAGTTTCCAGATGGTCACTGCTATTGTTTCCCTGGGAGTTTTCCTGTAATGGAACAGCAGTAGAAATAATCTCAGATGTTAAGAGGCAGTTTGTTAGGAGAGACGGAGCTGAGCTATATGAATCATCGGTTTCAAAACCAAATGCTTCAAAGTTCACATCGAACATCCCTTTATGTTCGTCACTGCTGTCAGAATCATCAGGGCATCCTTGTGAGCATACTGGGGGCAAAGGCAAAATCAAGGGCTGCGCTGTTTGAGGTGGAGGAGGGGAAAAGCAAGGTAGAGGTTTGCCAGGCTCTTCCTCCCAATTAAAGGGAACTGAAGCTATGAGCTTGACTGGAGGTGGTAGAGTTGGAGCAACAAAAGAAGAGATTCCCGGTTTCCAGTCCTTCTTAGCTATACCTGGCCTTTCCTCCCAAAGGAAAGGAACCGAAGGTGGTTGCCAGATTCTCTTCTTGTTAGAGTACTGTGTGGCCAAATTCTCTGCCATTTTGCATTGCTCCTTGAACTCTACCAGGCCTATATACATGGGGAATGGTGCTGCAGAAGTGGGTTAGAAGAGTTAGCTAGGAAGCCAACTGCACCATTCTTGCTCTTGAAGAGAGTAGGCTCACCTGCTCTCCTCCCTGCCTGTCTCCTCGTTCTGGATTTGGTCAGTCAAACCTCGTCAAATGTGGTAATCCATGTAGAAAAATCATTTTGAATCCATTCATTTAAATTCTTAGACATGTTGATCTCTCATATCTTCATCATGTTTATGATAATCTTTTCTTTTGAAGAAAAATGTTCTCAGCAATTATCTGCTGGGCCCATTTTGCCTGAGTAGAATGACGGGCAAGTAGTTGGGCTATAATTTCCATTGGGCCAGGAATCAAAGTTTCAATCCCACAGTAGAAATTATCAGGACATATCTCAACAGTGTACATGATGATGAATCCGTAATAATCAAGCATGGACTGACTATTGGACTGTTTAATGGGTGAAATTCCAGATTTAAGTTTTACGTCAGCATAAAAAATGAATGTAATTTCTTTGTATCTGTCAAGCAATTATAGGTGTATCTTTTAAATTTTTTTTTTATTTTAACCAGGTAGATGGTTAGGAAGTTAGTAGAGTTAGTTTGATAGCAGCTGGAATTTTTTCAGGAAAGTGAACCTTCCACCCCTCATTTGACTTCCACCCCTCATTTGAGGCGCGCGATCATTAGGTCGTAAGTTGGTGGAGTTCACGACGGTAGTAGAGCTCGAAGCCCTGACCTCCGCCTCACCCAAGCCCTAAAACTTGGGGGCCAACCAATTGGGCCACAGGCTCGGTTGGCGTATCTTTTAAATTATTTAAAGAGAGATTATTTTTAACTTTAATGGAGTGATTCAACAGTTTAAGAATTTGTAACTTCAAATTGAAGATCTTAAGTTTGAGTATGTTTAGAGCAGAGGAGGCTATCTCCTCTTATATAATCCATAGTCAGATAAACAAAAAAAAAAGGAGAGATTATTTTTAAAATATGTATAAATTGATTAAGAGCATGTTTGGTGAAATTTGTAAGTGTTTCAATTTTTTTGATATTATTCATGTTTCATATGTTTAAATTTTAATTAGAAAAAAAAATTTAAAAGTTACTTTTAAAAAGAATATAAAGTGAGTAAAAAGGAAGTTTTCAAAAAGTAAAAATTTGAAATTTTTAGAAATTTACTATTTAAAGTCTTTTTAATGTTAAAAAAATTAAAAATATAAGTTTTTAAGAGAAAAATTTACACTTATGAAATATGAATAGTATAAAAAAAATTGAAGCACTTGGAAGTTGAATCAAACATGCCCTAAATAATGTCATGAATGTAAAATTAAAAAGGCATGGACTCTTATAGACACAATAGATCTATGTCTAGCTGGTACCCAGCACAATAGAAATTTAGTTAAATTTGACAATCAAACCAAAAGGAGAGGAAAATAAAATAGGAAAAGGAATCCAAATGGGGGTGGGGCAAATTCTATCATAAGATGCATATATATCTCACCCCCTTTAAGCATTAGATATTATTATTAATTGAAGACCAGGTTAAACCAGGTTAAACGGCTTGTTGAAGATGGAAACACAAGGCCCCTATGTAAGGCAAAGTGAGAATTAAAGGTGGGAACATTTACCACAAACCATCAATCTTAATATTAGTCACTATTTTATACTCTAGTAGTATATGCTTGTGTCAAGCTATGAGCCCATGAGCTGCACCCAAAAGGAAAATATATTACTTAATTACGGACAAAATGATGCAAAATACTGCAAATTGAAAGAGTGAGATTAAGAGCCTATTTGATATAGTAGTTTTGAGATAACAATTAATGATTTTGTTTAAATTACTAAGGTTAGGTGTTTGATAAATTTGTTTATTTCGAAAATGTTATAAACTAGATGTAATTCTCTTTGTCTTTCAATTAATTAATTTAATTGGTTCATTTTAAAACAACTTTGTATAGCATAAATGGGATTTTCTTCCTTCTTAGTTTAAGAATCAAATTAAAATTACTACCAATTTTGAGAGAAGTGTTTTTTTCCCATTACCCTATTTTATACCCCCAATTGTGTATGCCCTGGTTCTTTACAGATATATTTAGAACCTGAATAGGTCCACCGTCTACATCTAGCTCAATAGTATCTATATATCATGATAAAATACATGTAAAATATTCCATATGCTAAATTACAATTTACAAATATAAATGCTCTGGATTATGTGTATGTTCTCAACTTCTCATGAACAACCAGTAGGGTCCTTTCCCATATATAGAGGCAGCTTCCTAATTGTTTGAATCTAGAATGTCATTTTATAAAGAAATAGATGAAGACCAGCTCATTACATACCAAATCTGCATATTAAGAGAAGATCGAATATTTTCACATGATTATTTATAATTAAGTTAATTATACAAAACAAATATATGAAAAGATGTGTATTCAATTTGAATTAGGGTTTTTTTAGCCAATTTAAACATAAGACAAACTGAGGAACAGAAAAGAAAATGTTGTCATTAATAAGTGAGAAAACAAATAGAAAAAGAAAAACCATACAATTAATCTTTTTATGTTCTTAATTATTAGCTAAAAGAGTGCTGTCTGAATTAGAAAACATTTTGCTCAACAATTACTATTTTGAAATTTTGACTCAATTTTATGAGATGTGATCATTTACATACATCATATACAGCTCAGGGTTTGAAATTCCCAAAACAAACCCTCAAATATCAGCAATCTGAAACTCAATTCAATCTACAAATTGCAGAAACAGCCACAATTGACTAAAACCGGACCAAAAGTAATAAAAATACATTAAGTCTCCTCTCAGCTTGAATTTTGCAAATTCAACACTACCCCATTAACATTACTACATTCAAACAATGCTTTTGCTGTCATCTCCCTCTCAAATCTCCAAATATAATTCAACCCCACCAACATTTCAGTAATGGCAGCTTCAGTCTTCGCTTTATCTGCCAAAAACAGTGTCTGCAGCAGAAGAACATTAGTTTTTGGAACCAAATTTTGCTGCTCAAAGCTCCTTTCACTTTGCCACTTGATCATGTTATGTGCCAGTGGTGACAACCACCCCAGTATCCTCCCCAACGCTGCCCTCCATTCTCCGGCCAGCACCGGATCACTGGCTGAGAATCCCACCCCCTTCAACCTCGCCCTTAGTGCCGCCCTTATGCTGCCCGGTAGCATTGCATATAGGTCATCCCTTGCGTCAACCCCAACCAATTGCGGTGACTTTATCATCTTCTCTATGACAATAATCAAATTAGCATAGTGCAAGGATAGTGCCGCCGCCCCAAGTGTACTCTCCGGTGGCTTTAGTAGCCTCGAATTGGACTCCAAAAATTTAGTGCCCATTTCGGTTTTCTCATCAAGTTTTGAACTTTTCAATGGACCGGATACAAAGGTACATGGGTTAGGGTTTTCTGTGGGATGAACTGTAGCAGAAGCAGAGAGGCTGCGAGGTAGAGACGGCAGGTATCCATGGCCGACACCGAAAACGAGCTTGATTCTTGCTAAAACAGTGAAAACGGATCTTGCAAGCATTGAAACTACTGTGTCAAAGCTTCTATTCCATAAGGATCTTTCTTTTAAGTACTTGACTTCCTGCCTCTGCCAGAAAAGTTTCTGCTGCAGATCGATAATCTTCTGTTCCTTTGTAGCTGACTCCAATTCTTTACACTGTACAGCTTTTCTGAAACTGCTCTCAATTGCAGATAGCTCCTCCATCTCTTTGAATAAAGTCACTGTAATCGTCACGTATCTGTAACAACAACAAAAATAGTACTATTGATTAAAAATTTTAATGCCACAATTGGAATTTTATTTTATAAATTTGCTTTCACTCAATAAAAATTCTAATTTCTTCCTTAATTATTCTGTGATAAAAGTTTGTACCTGTCCATCTTCTTGTTTTTAGCTTCCATTTCCTTTCCACTCAAAACCCAGCCGTGAGGATCATGACCGGAGGTTGCGAACTCTTCCAAAATCCGATCAAAATCCTGGAGTTTTATGTCCTGGCATCGCCGGGTTATGGTGGAAATGGATTTCGCCACGAGCCTGATGTTTTCCGCCATCTCAGCGCAGGCAAGGCCTAGAAGGAAGGACTCATCATTGGAGACGATCTTCCGAACGCCTTCGAGAGATATGGACTCGTTCCTGAGACGAACGATGTTCTTATCAGAGAGAGAGTTCCAGAGATGGAGAAGCTTGGACATGAGTCCGGCAATCTCAAAAGCCAAAACTCCAACATTTGATTTCTTCAATGCTTTTGGTTTCGGAACCGACGATCTCGCAGAGTCGAAGCTGTTTGATATTGCCGTTTTCACTTTTATCAACCAAGTTTCAAAAGCCATAGCTAGAATTCAATCTAACAGAAAATTACAAGATCAAATGTTCAAATCTCTGCAATTTTAAACAATTTGATGGGAGATGAAAATAACTTTGCTGAAGAAGTAGAAAGATGAAGGAATAGAGAGGAAATAATTGAAGAGTGGAGGGTTCGGAGAGAGATAAATAAGAATAAAAGAGAGAAGCTTCAAAGTTGCAGAGATGTGAGGCTCGTGGGATGTTGAGAGAGCATTATACAAATAGCATATCATCCCAAACAGTTTCTCATTTTTTTAATTAATTAAATTGATAAAAAAATAGAAGCAAGCGGCGCAGGAATTGCAGTCTAATGCTACCAGCACACGCATCTAGAGCGCGTGTCATACGGAAGACATAAAGTTTAGTTTGTCGTGTAGTAGGTGAGTTCAAAAGCGCGTGAAACAAATGAAATTTTCGTAATAAATAAATGTTATCTCTTAGTCGGTAAATGGAAACTCTAGCGGTCTGTTTGGACGGAAAGGAAAAATGCATTTTTCCTTAGATGCCTTTTTTTTTTTTTTTTAACAAAGGGATGGGGAGGGATCAGGGGGCCATTCTCATTATTGGAGTTTTGCTTTTGAATTTTTTTTGTGAGCATGCACTTCGATATTCCTAATGCTTTGTTTTTGTGTGCATTAATAATTGGTCCAAAAAACTTCAAAAGTATATGGAAAAGTTGAAATTCAGTGAATTATTTGAACTTATGTTCTCCGATAATATCAGTGAATAATTTTAACAAATTGACCTTTCTGTTTTTTCCTTTATGGTTATACATACGGTGTAGGTGCAAATTCAGCCCTTTCTTTTTTTTTTCCTATGAAATAAAATTTTCTTATATATTAATTCATTAAAAGTATTTAAATAATCTTATAAAAATTTTAACATTTTAATTGTTCAGCATGTCTTATTTTTTATAATTCCTTTTAATATTTAGTTTTTTTTTTTTTTTCAGATTTAAGACTATCATGGTTTCAAGTTATCAAAAGAGTTCTATGACATTGGATGAGTAAATATAAATTAATTTTTGTATTTTGTCAAGTGAAAAAATGATAAAAATTACTGTCACATCAAATTTATGGGAATTTATTGTCAAATAAACATTGTCAATAAATTATTTTTATTTTAAAATATTAAAATTAAATTAAGAAGCTAAGAGTTAATAAAAATTGATCTTTGTTAACTTTACTTTATTATTAGAGTACATGTTAAAGGTATAATTAATGTATTATTTTATAATTAATTTTTATTAAAAGTATAAATATTGATTTTGATTTAATTAATTAACCAATTAGAATTATTTATTTGTCAATGATGTCAAAATAAATGTAAACTTTCATAATTTTTTAAGTGAATTACGTATAAAAAAAGTAAATATATCATATTTTTAATTTGTAATTTTAGAATATAGATTAGACAAACACAATAAAAATAAATGGAAGTATAAAGGAGATTGCAAGTGGATCCAATTAAATTAGACTTAGTTTTTAGTTAGGCACATGGCCCTAATGACCGAAAGGAGGCTAAGAACTTGATTACATGTGACCATGCATTTAATACTCACATTAATTTAACAAAATTTTGACCATTTTAATTTGACATTTCTATATATCTTTATATATGTAACACAAAATATATAGTGCGTGTTTTATGCTATAGCACACCTTGATGATCTGGAGTCCAAGAGACACATCCTCTCACCAGAATATTAATTTTTAAAGAAATTAAACTTTGTCCCCACATCCCCACACATGCAAGTTGTAATCAATCAATTTGCTAGGTTAAAAAATTAATTGTAGTTTTTTGGATGTTGGTCAAGCATTTGCATTCCTTAATCAACACTTCATGAAAAAATGAGTTCTATATATAGGAGGAAAAATAGATTAAGAGTAATTAATTTGACTAGGATTCTTGCAAGAGGGTTAGTTAGTGGAGTGGTACAATATTGCTTCTCTAGCCAAAGTCAACTATTGATTAGTATTGCCAATGAAGTATTAGCCTATGTCCATATCACAAAACTGAATTGTCTTTTTCAATTTGAATTCGCAAAGTAAAATTTCAATTTGAATAGGCAACAACTAAAATGTCCATAATATCTTGAGTTTATTAATTCAAACCACATGTTGTGGGTATTTTTTGACATTTTCAGTCTAAATTAATATTTTCTTTTGTTAGTTCAGTAAAAAAAGAGCATTTTTATTTATAAAAATCAAAATAATGAAGTAAAAAAAGGGTAGTACCATAAAATCTCTTTGAGAGAAGTAATCCTAAGAACCATGCACAAGAGAGATATTGTAACATTACATTAACATTGTCTTTTGGGTGGGAGTAAAAAGGAGAAAAAAAAAAAAAGGAAGAAAAACCCCACTCATTACTCATTTCAGCTCACATGCTTGATGGCAAGGCAATAGTGTTGGGTTGGTGAATTTTGGGGTCTTCAAACACTCAACAAGTAGCTTTCAAGACAGAGAAGGTTTTACTTTGATATTCAAAGGTTCTTTCTTTATAATTTCTTTCCTTTTTTTTTAACCTTTGCCTTTGATTTTGCCTACCAATGGAAGGGCATTGAAGGCTATCCCTTGTTTAGTTGTCGGAAAATGAATAGCCATCCATCCTACATTTCCATATGTCTCGATAAAAGTGCCCCTCCCCCTCCCAATGTTTTTCTTTATTAATTATTTTCCTTAATTTTCAAATTGTGTAAAATGAAAGAGATTAAGGGAGAATGAATGTCAAATATATATAAAGAATTTTTTATTTACTTAAGTGCCCTCTGTTTTTTGTCACAAGATTAAATTTACCTCTCTAATTTGGTAAAGATTGATTATCCATGGACTGCAAATTACATGAGAATCCATAGTAAGGATCTACAATCAAAGGATATTTTGAACTCAGTTGCAAAGTTCACCTCTTAATTTGTTTCAACCCAAAACTTGCAAATGTCTAATTTGAAATTTTGAGGTAGAATTTGCAATGGATAATGATTGGTATGTCTCTTTATTCAAACACATTCCACAAATGTATTTATTAAAAAATTATTATTTTTAAATTTAAATTTAAAGTAGAAATACTTCTAATTATAGATATTAATTACTAAATCGATAATATTAGTGTATGTATTGAACCGACATACATATTACATTAGAAAATGTATTAATTATTTTCTTTGCAAATAAACAGATTGAGTCTTTACTTGGCAAGACGTGTTTTATTAACTGTTCAATTAATTAATTAGGTTGTATAATTAAGTTTGAAGCTTTGGATGAGGCCCGGAGGCAAAGGGATTCGCATGTGATTCAAGAAATATATTGTTGGGAAGGGAAGCCTCCTTGTGCACTAAAATTAAGCCATAAGTGACATTTTGGGTGGCCAAATCTTAACATTAGATCCAATTAATGCTAAATATCCAAACCTGTCGGGAGATTTTCTTCCGATAACAGAACTGATAAGTCCAACATAACAATATTGTCTGTAAAGCAAAGGCACATATTCAAGATTCTTAGATTTAGACATAAGGGTTGGTAATAAAGAAGAGAATTCGGACATTCATATGTTTTTGGATGAAATGCAGTGTACCAAATCCTCAATTTTTAAAACCCTAAGATGATCTTAACATTTATACAGGGATCTCGGATTCTATCGGCATGAATTGTGGATTCATTACATGAGCCATGCAGGCCGGCTATTGACTTTATACAAGTTTTTTTTTTTCCTACTGTTATAATGAAGTATTATACACGGTTCTATATATTCCTGTTCTATGATATCACCAAAAGCTATATAATATTAATTGGTATATATTTTGATTTAATATATTATATAATAAATTTATTAATAAATTATTATTTTTATATCAAATTAAAGATAAATAAATTTAAAAATATAGCATACATACAACATATAAAAATTGATTGACTAAATCGATTTTATTTATATTATGTCTTAATAACTAAATTAAATAAGGGAAATGAGACATCCACCAAATGAACCAATACCCATCTCAACACTTATGTGCAAAATGAGGAGGGTAAATTTGTAATTTTACTATTTAAAACAACATGAGTGTTGAGATGAGTGCCGGTTCATTAGGTGGATGTATCATGGTCCATTAAATAAATATCAGAAAATGTATTGAATTAAAAAGTTTACTTATTGTTTTCTAAAATTATATACTTCTAGCGTTTAATAACTATCTTTCAAAAAGACTTTTTTTTTTTTTGAACATTTTGACACGGGGCGGGTTCGAAACCCGCCCAGAGGAGGAAGAAATGCACCTAGCAAGCTGGCTAATACCAGAGACTTTTTGGATGTAATGTGGTCAGTTTTAATATCTAATCACCATAATGAAAGCATTAGGGAATATAATTGAAATAGCATTAATAGATATTTCTGGATAATGGAATTAATTAAAAGAGTAGTAGCAGTAATCAAAGTCGAGTGTAGCATGCGTCCATGCGTGCCGAGGTGGGTTGGCACGCCGGTGCAGGCGCCTAGGGCTAACTACCTCCCGTGCGCGCGGCAATCACTCAACAAGGGAAATGATGGAGAATGACCGAATACCTTGCATTATGCAAAATTCCCAACTTTGTGGTGTGATGCCATCATCCACTTCTTCACCCCTGTGTGGTACGTAATCATATTCATACCACATCATTGACGGAGACAATGCTGAAAATTAAACCCAGTCTCACTGTTTTTTTTTAAATTATGCAAAGGAAAATAATTATTACATCCTCTGGTTCAATATACTTTTTAATATTTATCTTGTTTAGTTATTAAAATATAATATAAATATATCAAGTTCTTGTATTCTGCATATATGATAGTATCTTTAAGTTTGTTTTTAATTTTAAACAAAATAATAATAATTTTTTAATAAATGTGTTGTATAGTATATTGAGCCAAAAGAAGTATCAATTAGTATCCTTATGCAAAATGTCCTATATATAATTAATATGTGTTCTTAGTAACATGTTTCGAGTTAAATCTCTAATCTTTACATTTTTTTATACATTGAATCATAAATTATACAACAGAAGATTATTCTACTCTTCTCAAACCCCTCTCCACTTATTTCATGATTTGAACCTGAGATTTTAAATATGGTGATTCAAGTTTTTAACCACTAGGACATCCCTTAGGGAACCTAATCTCTACATAATAGGAAAAAAAAAGAGAAGGTATGGATTTTGATAATGAAATAGATAACAATAACTCTTACAAATTGCCAATGACCTTAGTATCTTAGTAGTGAAGTCCTTCTAATGAAAGTAAAATATCCCAAATTTGAGTTGCATGACATGCGATTATGGTGGGGTTAAAGGATAGAAAAAAGTTATCTTTTATTATGCAACCCAAAATGAAAAAATTAAAAAAAAAGAAAAACTTTTGCAAACTAATACTATCAATATATATATAACCTAATTAATTGCATCTTATAGGTTTTTTTTTTTTTTGCTTTAGGTTACATAATAATAGGCAATTCTTTTCCCTCTCTTAACTCACTTCACTCATTTGTCCTACGACTTCAATTCAAGATTTTTTATTTTTATCAAAAAGAGATTAATTACCGTTGAATTATTTAAATAGTTAACAACTACATCTTATAGGTTGTTAATTGCTGGTCTTGGATTTTACCGACTTCTTCAAATGGTATCAAAATTGTAATTATATAGATTACACAAAAAGTTTTGAAAAGAGAAAGAAATGGCCTTAAAGGGAAAAAAACAGTGGATCCTTTTTCTTTCTTTTTTATAGGGGAGAAATGGAGAGCTTTGTCACTTTTGTGTGCATGGTGAAGTGAATCTAATCTAAGCTAAATACTTTGGCCGACAACAAGAAATGTAGAGAGTGAAGATTGCCATTTGCCACGCATGTGTAACAGTGCATGATCAACTATGAGATGTGTTTTCTTCAAATCTTACTTCGCTTTTTTCAAAAAGATTTTAAAAAAATAAAGAATGACCAAAATTAGTTAAACATATAGTGGGAAAATTAAAAAGAGAATTACACTTTGTTTTTTCGTGGTATATATGAATTGTTGTTACTAATTGGCGCCTAAATGGGGGTCGGTTTAAGGAAACTAAAGTACCATTTTAGATTAAAGATATAAATGCACATGGACATTTATACTAATCAAGGGACTTATAGCCAAGATCTATTTCGTTTAGTTGCTTGATTGTAGTGATAATTGATTGTCAATATTTGACGACTCATAATTATTATTGTCTAAACTTAAATACTCTTATTAGTCTAATTAGGAACACAATAATTGATAATTGTTTGTTGATAATTAAACACAAATGATGGTCACATTTTGTTTTAGTACATAAGAAAGGTAGCTTTTAAATTCCTCCTCAAACTATTTGAAAGAGAGAGAAACTGGGAAAGGAAGATAGTTCAATTAAACTTAAAATGAAATAATTTAATAAGAATCTTTTTTGTTTAAAAATAAAGAATTTTAAATTTGAGTTGCATTACACCTAACAGAGAAAAAAAAAAACCAGGGATGTGAAATGTCGCCGTGTGATCCACTTATATGGAGAAACCGAAAAAATTCAACTGGGTTGACTTGGACCACCATGAACAATTCGGAAGGACCCATAAGGAGAATTTGAAGGGCATTTGAAGAAATGAAAGGCTCTCTTTTCATGTCAAAGCACATACTCATTTTGCCCTCACATTCCTTGATAGAGACCTAAGTGTGCATTACCAATATCCCACTATAAGTGCTTTTGAAAAATCCAAGCATTTATAAATTAAACCCATAAAAAGAAAATATGAAAAATATTTTTTAAAAAATTTTAGAATATTTGGTTTAGAAGAGTGGAGGGAATATATGGCCTCTTATTCATAAGAAATGAAGGAGCTATGTTCTCCTTTTGTTGGACATTCCTTAAAGAAAATGGCCCCATAACCGAACTCTTTAGAAACATCTCTTAATTAGATCATGCTCTTTACTCTCTTGCACGTGTGTCATCATCATCCTCACCGTACGTATATGGTTGGGACTGAATTATTAAGTCATGCCCGCACGTGCATAAGGCCCAGGCCCATTTACCAAGGTCCACTGTCACCATAAATTATCCCAGCATCTAGATCTAATCACTTCATATTGTTGGATTTGGGTCTAAATAATCCTTGGATGAATCCAAACCACCCCAAAAAAATTCTTGATGAAAATGTTTAAAATAGCAAATCTTTTATTGTTTCAAGCTTAGAAACTTTAAATTCTCTCGTGTATCCTATAGATTAAGAATGACAAAGAATCGAACTAAATCATGCCTTGTAACAAGTTTCATGTTAGATTATTTATTTAGACAAATTTGATCCAAGTTTGAACATAGCTTTGTTATTAGACAAATGAGCTGAATCATGCCCATATAGCTTATAAATGACTCAAATATGGTTCATTTCCAATCTACCAAGAGAGATTTTCAAGGAGGAATCAAGAGAATGGTCATAGTCCACCAATCGTTTACACATTGAATAATGGATTCCTTAGCCTTGAATTTTAGCCTTTTAGGTATCATTGGATATAGTTCTGTTGCATTGACCAGTCCAACTCCCAATGATATGATTCCATTGAACAACCCAACATTGTGTATCATTTTGAATCCTTCCATTGCAATATATGTTGGTATGGTTTTTGGATGGTAATGGGAATATTATGTTTTGCTTCATAAATACTCCCTTATAGTGAGATTTGATTTTGTTTGCAAACCACTCCATTCACCAAACAAGCTTTCCACAAGGTCCAAAGTGTATTGATGGTAGATATATATCCCATAGTCCTATTTCATCATATCAAAACAGACCAATCTTTATTTATGATAATATCATGCTCCATTTTCAAAGATATGGATCATAGATTGGTCGGCACAACTATTTTTACTATATGTGCAATTCAGACAAGATCCAATCTGCGCAATTTGATTTCACCAAGAGATGCAACCCAACCAAGGTACCAAATAACAAGTTAAAACGATTGCGATCAGAAGCAGTAGAAAGCTCAATAAACGACATGAAATTCGGCCCTTAAAAACTCAATTTCAAGAGTTTTGAAGTTGAACATTCTTTGTCAGAACTC